GAGACGAACAGCTCGCGCAGCATAGATGTGAAGCCCAAGGACGGTTTGTACGGTGCGCGGGGTAATGTCAACAAGCCCATGGAGCGGGTTCCTAGCAGACATCGCTCGAAGAAGAAGAAGAGAGGATCGCGGAGGTCGTCGAAGGGAGCTGCATATGAACAGAGACGCCTGAAGGCTATTGAGCAGAGTGGCCCGCCCGAGCTATGGCCCACATATTGTGCAGTGCTCACATTCTTCATCCCGGACTTTGTGCTAAAATGGTTCGGCATGCCACAGAAAGAACAGCGCAGTGCTTGGCGGGAGAAGATCGGCCTTATCAGCATCATTCTGATGATTGGTGCTTTCGTCGGTTTCCTGACTTTCGGTTTCACGGCTACCGTTTGTAGCTCGCCCCCGGTTCGGTTGAAGGTCAACGAAGTCAATTCCAACTACATGATCTTCCACGGAAAGGCCTATGACTTGGCTGGCTCCAAGCACCCCGCTGTCACTGGTATCCCTGCTGGTTCGAATGTTATCTACGACTTGCCCCACAAGTATGGCGGACAGGATGGCAGCTTCTTCTTCCAGCAGGTCAACGGTGCGTGCAAGGGATTGATTACGGCTCAGCCTGATAGCGATATTCCAACAAACTCTGCTGGAGATCTCGGATGGTACTTCCCCTGTGCGCCTTTCAACCAGGATGGTTCCTCTTCGCCGAATTTGACCGTGGCACATTACACGGGCTGGGCTTGCCATACCAGCAAGGCAGCCCGTGAGCCTTTCTACTCGCTGAACAGTGATGGGGATGTGTACTATACATGGGAGGATACGAAGAACAAGAGTCGCAATCTCGCGATATACTCCGGAAATGTGCTCGACCTCGATCTTCTTGCCTGGTTCGACCGCACTCAAGTGTCCTATCCCAAGCAATTTGATGAGCTCCGCAAGAATCCTAATGTCCGCGGTGTTGATCTTACCTACTACTTGCAAAGCGGGGAGGAAAAGAAGATCGGCAAGTGCTTGGCGCAGATTATTAAAGTCGGCAACATCGACACTGATACGGTTGGCTGTATCGCGTCGAAAGTCGTGCTCTACGTGTCACTCATCTTCATTCTCTCTATCGTGGGTGTCAAATTCGGTTTCGCCCTCCTCTTCCAGTGGTTCCTGGCACCCAGATTTGCCGCGCAGAGCACGAGTATGTCCTCCGACGCCAGGACTCGCAATCAACAGATTGAAGACTGGTCCAACGATATCTACCGGCCCGCTCCACGAATCGCCGAACCCGTCATTACCGATCGCCTCAGCAAACGTGCCAGTTTCCTCCCGACCACCTCCCGTTTCTCGAGCCCGTACAATGTCAACAGCAGCACTGGTAGCAAGCAAAAGCCGATGTATGTCACGATGGCTAGCCAGAACTCGACTTCTCGTCTCATGCCCAGCTCCAATTCCAACCCTGGAACTATGTACAAGTTAAGCCACAGCGGTAGCGGAGGTACTCTCAGTGCTGATAACTCTCGGCATAATCCTGCTGCCAGTCGGACTAGCTTGGTTCCTCCCGCTCAGGGCCAGCAAGATCCGGGTTATGCTACACTATCGACAGATCACGACGGCTTGGGTCCTGCTGGATTCATCCATGAGGCTGTTGTTCCTCAGCCTCCTCCTGAATGGCAGCCATTCGGCTACCCCCTGGCGCACAGTCTTTGTCTGATTACTTGCTACTCTGAAGGTGAAGAGGGTATTAGGTCGACTTTGGATTCTATTGCCATGACCGACTACCCGAACAGCCACAAAACGATCCTGGTCATCTGTGATGGTATTATCAAGGGTAAGGGAGAGGAATTCTCCACCCCAGATATCGTGTTGGGTATGCTCAGGGATCCTGTTGTCCCTAAGGACGAAGTTGAGCCCTATTCCTACGTTGCTGTGGCTACTGGCTCCAAGCGGCACAACATGGCCAAGGTCTACACTGGATTCTACGACTATGGTGATGCTTCGATCATTCCAGCGGAGAAACAGCAACGTGTTCCCATGATGGTGATTGTCAAGTGCGGAACTCCCCAGGAGTCGACCCAATCAAAGCCTGGTAACCGAGGCAAGCGAGACAGTCAGATTATTCTCATGTCCTTCCTCCAAAAGGTTATGTTCGACGAGCGTATGACAGAACTCGAGTTCGAGATGTTCAATGGCATGTGGAATGTCACAGGCATCGCGCCGGACTTCTACGAGGTTGTTCTTATGGTCGACGCCGATACAAAGGTGTTCCCAGACAGCTTGACCCACATGGTCTCGGCCATGGTGAAGGACCCAGAAATCATGGGTCTCTGTGGAGAAACTAAGATCGCAAATAAGACCGACAGCTGGGTAACGATGATCCAAGTGTTCGAGTAAGTTCTCCACCGTTTATGGTGTAACGAGCGCAATAACTAATTCTACAACAGATACTTCATCTCTCACCACCAAGCCAAAGCATTCGAATCCATCTTCGGTGGTGTAACCTGTCTCCCTGGATGTTTCACCATGTACAGAATCAAAGCTCCGAAGGGCGGCCAGAACTACTGGGTGCCTATTCTCGCCAACCCCGATATCGTTGAACACTACTCCGAAAACGTGGTCGACACCCTGCACAAGAAGAACCTACTCCTTCTCGGCGAAGATCGCTACCTAACCACCCTGATGCTCAAGACCTTCCCGAAACGCAAACAGATCTTCGTCCCGCAAGCCGTCTGCAAAACAGTCGTGCCAGACGCATTCTTAATCCTGCTCTCCCAGCGCCGTCGCTGGATCAACAGTACCGTCCACAATCTCTTCGAACTGGTTCTCGTGCGCGATCTATGCGGAACCTTCTGCTTCAGCATGCAGTTCGTCATCTTCATCGAGCTTATCGGAACCCTCGTCTTGCCCGCCGCCATCTCGTTCACCATCTACGTCGTCATCGTCTCCATCGTGAAGAAACCAGTACAGGTCATCCCGCTGGTCCTGCTCGCACTGGTCTTGGGTCTACCTGGTGTTCTGATCGTCGTCACAGCACACAAATTAATCTACGTGGTCTGGATGCTGATTTACCTCATCTCGCTTCCGGTGTGGAACTTCATCCTGCCTATGTATGCGTTCTGGAAGTTCGATGATTTCAGTTGGGGTGATACCCGTAAGACTGCCGGTGAGAAGGATAAGGGACACGGTGATGCCGAGGGAGAGTTTGACAGTACGAAGATCACGATGAAAAGGTGGCGGGATTTCGAAAAAGGTATGTCTTACTCCGTACTCTTGGAATGATTTGATGGATGTGTTGATGCTAATATCTTCATCAGAACGCCGCCTGCGCAGTGCCTGGTCACAGCCCCATGCTTCGACGGATCCTTATCCTTCGCAGTACGAGACATATTCACATTATTAACGAAAGCGATAGCGCTTGGCTTTATTTTTTATTCCTTTTTATTCTTTGTTGTTTATGTTTCTCCCGGACGCATCTGGTTTCGACGTGATTTATTGTACCATTTTACATACCGGCGTTCAAATATTCTTATAATAAGTTCAGAGCGTTGCACGACTGACGAGTTGATTATTTCTTACGTGTGCTCATATCTTGATCCATTCTTGTGTTTTTTGTTTTTTTATCGCGTCTGTCTGAAGCATTTTGCTTCTTGTACAGCGATCTGGACCGGGCGCATTATCATGTTGATACATAGTCAATAATAAATCGTCATACTACTCGACATAGCGTAATTGAAATAGCGTGATGAACTATCATATAGTTAACTAGTTTATGGCCTGTCACAGCCCCATGCGTGCTGTCAGCCTAAGCTGTGCCCAACAGGATCAAAGCGCAACTCACCGGGCTTCTTCGGGTTGGACCTACATGTCCTCTATGTACTTTAACTAGTTAAGTACTAGATGTACTCCCTGCATTATCGACATATGTTGTATGCGAGGCTCGAGGTGATCTGTGATCAGTAAAGAAGATGGCTTTGTTTGGTTTCATTTAGATTTCATTAGTCTACTTTACATACTTAATCCCTGAACTATATCTACTCTTCTATATCCTCAAGTAATTAATTAATACACTCGAAAGTGATAAATAGTAGACTTGTATATCACAGCTGAATATCCCTGTATTCTATGATGTATCATTTTTTTTTTGCCAGATATATGCTTTCTTTTTCTTTTCACCTCCCCGAGATCAAGGCCGAAAAGCCGGGAGAATGTCAACTCTCACGTTTCTCCCCTCCACGTTCTGACTGCATGAGAGAGGATCAGAATCAATATATCCCTTTCTTCCTTTTCTGTTTCCTTGCAAGTTCATCCCCTCCGGAAAAGTCTACCGCGCATTGTCCTATGGGATTCTCCCCCTCTATTTCCCTTTAGATCAGCCCACAGCTTTCGGGCGTTTCACCTGCCACTAGTAGCCATAACAGAAGGTCGATATTACAAACATTACCACACTTATATTCTGCAATTTTGATCTCTACTCATCTTTCCTCCCCGGCTTCTCCGAACTCCCTTCGGTTGAACTCGGCATTTCCATTTCACCCGCTTTCCGCTCTCCGCCTTTCCCTTACTCGCGTCATATAACGCGGGCTTGGAACCCAACCTGCAGTGTGGGGTTGAACTCTCCGAGCAGTCAGCACCTGCGAGACACATCGCTGCAGCAAAAGCAGCTGTGTGAATCCAGAAAAGTGTCACTGTAGGTGCACTCTGGCATTCTGATTACTGGATCGTTTTCTTCCGCTTGTGCGACCACCGCTATCTATTATCCCTGCACATCTGACCCTTTTAGGACGTGATCAGCCGTCCCGCCTTGCTGCACGGTGCCTGGAATAGGCAACTAATAGTTACTGACACTCTGTGGTTGAAAGTTACATCATCTTATCGGAGACAGACTTCCATGGCGGGCTATGCTTCATTCTAGCACCTGTAACTCTGCGAATCGCCCCTCCGACTACCCTGCCCGCTTGCGAGATCCCGCTGCATCGCCACACCATGTGTCATGTGATATCGATGGTCCTGCAATTCAACACCGAGTCATGAATCCTTCTCCACATCCTTCTGCTACTGGGCTGTCTGGTCGGGAAGACAATGCGACGCCCTTGAACCCAAATCTCGATTCGGATATATTTTCTACAGATCGATTTGCTTCGGCGACGGATATGTCTTCCGACATCGATCGCCGTTTACATAACGTGGGCGTTGCGGCTCTGGCTGCTGTGTCCCAGTACCCGCGTGCGGTGGATAATGCGCACGGGGATTCTTTCATGGTGTCCGAAGTCGTCAACGCTGTTACGAGTGCTGGTAGTCCTCCAGATTATCGACATTTGGACTCCGCGGGTTCGTTGCTGCCGGGACACAGAGGTCATTTTCAACAATCTGGAATGGGAGGAGCCCCTGCGGCCGGACCGGCGTTTGTCTTTGGTGCGAACCAGAGTGGCGACGTCGACATGGAGACGGTTGTCCGGAACTTGATTCACCGCACCGCCGGCCGGCAAAATATCGCCAGCGCTCCGGCCAGTGACATGGAGGATGCTCAGAAGGATACGGTTGGAGATTACGAGTCCGCTACAATGGAAGATAACCCGTCGCCCTCGTCGACGTCCGATGATGAGCTTGAGGACTTTCTCCGTTTTTATCCAGACGAAGAGGAGTATTACTACCAGCGCAAGGAACGGCCGACGCATGAAGCCGAAATGCCTGACTGCGATCTGGATGATTTTTATAACAGTATCAGTTATGACGATATTGATGTTGATCCCCAAACCGTCGGATTATCTGTTACAGAACCTTTGGGGAACTACACCGACGATCAAATGGAATTCGCTGGACCACACCCCGCATCTATAATCCACACTTCCAGTAAGGCGCTATGACATTTCAGACAAGACCGACCCTAGCTAATTCCCTTCTAGCATACGAGCGAAATTTCACTATTGATGAATTCATCCAGCGCTGGATGGTCTCAATAAACGTCATTCCACAAGGCTTCCATTCAGAAAGTCGAATCCCACCACAGCTCCGTCCGCTGTCAAAGATGATTAGCTGGAAACCCCCTCAGGAGGTTTTCCGGCCATCCGGATGGAGACGTGATTTTTATGATCTGCAGCAGATCCCATGGACAGAAACCTTGCGAGTGACACGGTCCGATGCACGAGCCGTGCGCGACGCCTGGTATACTTCGTATCACAACTTGGATTACTCCCACATCAGCCATGCAAATCGCCTTCCACAAAACGAAACGTTTTTCCGCGAGAGCTCCATGCACACTTCGTATAAAGCGTCCATCGAGCACTTCCAACTCCGCAATCTGATGTCGACGCCGGCATCTAATACCGTCCATTTCGCCTCCAGCTCCAAAGTATTTTCCTGGACCCCAACAACCGGCGACGCACGCTGTATAATCGACATGAGCCAACCAGACCCGGAAGCAGGCTTCCTCAGTCCCGTCAAAATCTCCACCATGAAAACAGCGCACGGCCTCACAATCGCAGGTGGGTTCTGCGGCGAATATGCTCTACGCAGCACAAGCGGCTCCAACCCCGGCATAAAAGGCCTCGTAACCCCGGACTTCAACGACGGCATCACCAACCACATCGACATAATCCCCAACCGAACAGGCCCCTCCCCAACCGGCGTCTTCGCCTCCAACGACAAACACCTCCGCATCCTCGACACAGAAACAAACATCTTCACTTCCGACCAAGAACTCTCCCAACCAATAAACTGCACCGCCACATCCCCAGACAGCCGTCTCCGCGTCGTAATCGGCGACTCACCAGACGCATGGGTCATCGAATCCGACACAGGCCGTCCGGTCCACCCCCTCCGCGGCCACCGCGACTTCGGCTTCGCCTGCGCCTGGTCCCCTGACATGCGCCACATAGCAACATCCAACCAAGACAAAACAGTCATCATCTGGGACGCGCGCACCTGGCGTCCACTTGAAACCATCGAGTCCGACGTCGCGGGATACCGCTCGCTGCGCTTCTCCCCTGTCGGTGGTGGCCCACGCACTCTCCTATGCACCGAACCTGCGGATCGGATTTCTATTGTTGATGCGCAGCTCTTCCGCTCGAGACAGGTGCATGATTTCTTTGGGGAGATCGGTGGTGCGGATTACGCCCCTGATGGCGCTGAGATCTGGGTTGCGAATACCGATCGTCATTTTGGTGGGTTTATGCAGTATGAACGTCGTCAGTGGGGGCAGCGCGTTGGTTTGACGGATTTGCCGTCTGAGTGGGTTACTGAGGAGGAGTTGGAGGTTGATTCGAGGTGTGTTTTGAGTAAACGGGAGAGGGGTTTGAGGTTTTTGAGGAATTTGTCGGATGAGGAGCATGATGAGTTGATTCTTTGATTTATTGCCTGTTGTGCTTTGATTCTGTGATTCTGTGATTCTGCGATCTTTGTGGATGTTGTGCCTCTTATGCTTGATGGGATGTCTGTTGTCTGTCTCTCTCTTTTCTTTTCTTCTGGGTTGGTATACTTTGCGCCTTTTCATCTGCATCTGATACCCTGGGCTATGGAGTTGGAGGTTGTTCATATTGGTTTATATTCGTTTCTTTGGTTTTAGTTGGATGTGGATTCATGATGATATGTATGCTCGTCTTGATAATGACTCAATTAACGGTACAGGTGCAATCCAATCAAATCCCGGTTTTTGTTCCTAAGATGCTGTACTTTTGTCTAGAAGCAGACAGCTGGAGAGGGGTTGGGGCAGGCAAGATTAATCTGACATCGACCCCCGCCTACCTAGTAAACCTCTGGTTTGTTTCCTTTTCTTCTATTTCTGCGTTATATTTTATTAAGGCTAGGGGGACTAAAGGATCCTATACAAAAGCTTGTTTCACTATATCCTCTCGACTGCAAGCAGCAATCAAGCATCGCCAGTCTCAAAATGGAAATTCTGACTGAGACGATGAGAAACGCTCGCCTGGGTGGTCCATCTGAAGACCCAGAGCACTTGCTCTTCAACCCTCAAGAAGGTAGTGGATTAGCGCCAACGGCCTTGGATGAGATTCCCCGTTACCTGTTTCGGGTCGCCTCTCCCCATTCCGACGGAATGACAAATGGGACGTGGGTGCGTTCGAAGTCGGCCTATCAGAACCCGAATTTCTCTACAGAAGATGTCTTCTTTGGCCTGAATGCCGACAAACGGACAACCATAGCTCGAACACTCAACTTACATCTTCGATGGTGGCCACAGGGCGACGTAATAGACAATTTCGTTTCATGGACCAGCTCGTTGCTCTTCGCAATACAGTACATCTACTACCGACATCTGAGCCCCGACGATAGTTCGTGTTTAGAGGATATCAAGTTATATGCGATAGATACGATACGGTTTCCTAAAGGGACATTTCTTCGTGATTTGGATCTAATTGACGCATTCTGCGAATACGATGATCACCCACGAGGATATGACCTAGAGAATTTCCGCTCCCTTCGCACCAATACCAAACATTATTTTGGAGAATACCTTTCACAAGGATCATTGAAGATTCAGGGCAAACGCGAGATTATACCCGCGGCGTCTCTTTTTGAAGGTGATCGATTGCGCCGTCTACAGCCTCGTTTTCGTGTATTCAATGGTTTTCCATCTAGAAATGGGAGACCGATATTGGCAATTGAAGTCATTCGCCTTCGCGATGCTATTTGGCAGGCTACCGATGCACAAGTTTTATCGCCAGAAGAGATGGAAGGCCGTTTGAAAGCCGTCAAAGAGATTGTACAAGATCTCGAACCAAGCTGGAGATTTCCTCTTGCTATTTACTTCACCTCCCTCATTGGCTCTGAATCCCCAATTCAACAGGGAGGCGCGGCAGCTCACAATGTCTTCTCAACCCATTTCAAATCTATCTTTCCTAGCGGTGAGTCTATCCGTATTTCCACGCTTTGCAAACATGTACTATTTTAACAAGGGTACTAACAATATTCTGAAGGACAACAATCGTTGAGTCCTCTCAGCTTTAAGACCGTCGTACCAGAGACAATGCCTGAAATGAAGCAAGTCAAAAGACTTGTTCGTGAAATACACAAGGTTCACGCATTGGCACATGCACTAGGTCAGCGCATTCGTTATATTTTCTCTTTCTGACTCTCTTTGTTCCTTTTTCTGACATGAAATTTTAGATTGTGTCGGAAGAGCAGGAGCAAGTCTTCGCACCTTACATGATAGTAATGTGTTCTCGGACGATGGACATGCTCTTGTTGTGGCCGATCCAAATGAGTTGTTGGATCGTGCAGGCCAAACCCTTCTAGCAAAGCTTCGCTCCGTGCAAGATCTGTGTGAAGCGGTTATATCCACCATTTCATCCAATGGGGTATAGGTAGTGCTATCTTTCTATCACTTTTTCTTGCGCGTGTCTATCTCAGTCATGGAGAGTGACGCCACAATATAACCACTGTTTATTGGCTCAATGTGTTTGGTGATTTTTTATATGCGCAGATTCCAATGAATGAGTTCAATTTTTAAGTCAAAAGACATGGGCACTGCCGCACTGATTTCCGGGTAAGAATATATATTTTGTTTATGTGATAGGTATCTAGAAGATTAAACGCAATGCACTCGTTCTAAAATTCTAAGGGGGGATTTCATGCGCTTGAATGAATATACTAATAATGTTTTTGACTTCTATTACTGCATTTGATCAATACACCATTCCTTATATACTCCACCCCTGGATGGAGGAAACGAGTCACATGATTTCTGGGCTCGGTGTATATATATTCCGGTCGTATGGAGGAACCAACATCCACCTCCTGCATGGATGCACATCCTATGTAATTATTTTGTAGAACCTAGGATATGTAGTGTATCCACAGATAATTTATGATGCTTTACTTCTTGAACATATTCCACATATGTACCAAATCGAATGAGAACTACCAGTGTTGCAACTTCTGCTCATCTTCGTAGTTTCTTCATTAAAACTCCGAACTATCGCCTAAAACCCACTAAACCCACTAAAACCAGCCACAAAACAATCCAAAATCAATAGGCAACCCCCGAAAATGTGCACTTAAAAAGCTCGCTGGTCAATAATTGGCCACCTCAGCTCCGATCCACCCCATCCGATCGAACGGCGAATCGCCCAAATCAGCGAGATCAACAAAAAAATGCCCCGCAACCCCTCGCAACCCCTCGTCCAACCTCAGCTGAAGCTCTTCCATTCCATTCTGTTCTTTAAGTTTTGCTATTAAATTTATCGCATTTCCGTTTCCACTTTCTTCACTTTCTTCACTTTCATCTTAAATCACTCTACTCTATCTCACATTCATCCTCCACCTATCTACAACCATGTCTTACCGCGATAACCAGCAATACGGCAGTGGCGGCGGCGGTGCTAGCAACAGCTACTACAACAACGACGAGGACTTCTCCGGCCGTAACAACAACAATAACAACAACTCCTACGGTGGATCCAGCGGTGGTTACGGCAACTCTAACGAGGGCCGTTCCAACCAGGGCTACCAGAACCAGAGCCAGAACCAAGGCCAGGGTAACTACGGCGGCCGCCAGGAATCCCACGGTAGCGGAGGCTACGGACACAACAACAACGACTCCTACGGTGGATCCAGCGGTGGCTACAGCAACCAGAACCAGAGCCAAGGAAACTACAGCGGCCGCCAAGAATCCCACGGCAGTGGAGGCTACGGCAACAACAACAACAACTCCTCCTCCGGCTACGGCAACTCCTCCAACCACCACTCTTCCAACAACGATGACGACGACTACAGCAGTGCCGCCTCGCACGCACAGGAAAACCACAGCAGCGAGGACAAGTCCCTGTTCAGCACTGCTTTGAACTTCCTCAAGGACCGCAAGAGCTCCGGCAACGACGACGACGAGCAGCAGGCGGCTAATGCCCACCAGAGCATGTACGGATCTGGTAACTCCTCCAACCAGAACCACGATTCCAACACTATCGGTGCTGGTGCTGCTATGCAGGCTTTGAAGATGTTCTCCGGTGGCAGCAGTGGCAACGGTGGCAGCAGTGGTAGCAGCGACGGTGGTATGGATAAGAACAAGCTTATTGGGCTTGCTATGGCTCAGGCTGGCAAGCTGTTTGATGAGAAGAATGGATCTGGCGGTAATGTGGTATGTTATTCTTCCTTTCTATTTGATTGGGGATGATGGTGATGCTAATGATTGCTTATAGTCCGGAGACAAGCAGTCTGCCGTTAACTCTGCTGCCGAGATGGCACTTAAGATGTACATGAAGAACCAGGGTGGTGGCTCTAGCGGTGGTGGTGGGCTTATGAGTCTTGCCAGCAAGCTCCTGTAGATGTTTCTCTTTACATATGTACATATCTGGCACTTGAGATCTTTCTCTTTCGATTTTAGTGCTCTTGTCGCTTTTTGAAGAAGGAACAATCCAGGAAATCGCGAGGACAGGGAAACAACATACCGCGTAGTGCAAATGTAGCTGTGCATGACGTTTCGCATTACTTCGAACGTATTACTTGTTGGCTATGGGACTATTCCCTTTCACTTTTACCAACTATTAAATTGGGAGACCAAATTGTAATTTATGTTTCCGTCAGTATTTTCCATCAATATACTTCATTGGGCTAGATTGATGTGAAGTGAAGGCTATATATAGATGATACTAGTTCAGGCTCACGCATTCCCACTAACTCTGTTGTGTCAATACTACATACCCCTCCCCTCAACTGGACCAGGATCAGGTATATTCTAAACATACCGCAACCTGTCTCGGACTAACGGTGCCGATGGATAAACTCCATGCAAGACCATCGAGGTCCGCAACAATCCAAGCTGCCATTCGACGTTTCTAGACCAGCGAGGGTCATCCCCGTTGGGCACCGAACACCAAATGGTCTGTGTCTCGACTAGGCTGCGCCAAACCCCGCAATGGGTAGACCCGTGGACATCTTCAACCCGCAACCGGCCCGCAAAACCCACAAATGCATAAAGTAGCCTAAATAGGAAGGTTACCTCCCTATTCAAACCAGATTTGTGAAATTTATACATTTATACAGACTAGCCTCGACTCTACCATTTCTTGACTATGTCCAGAATGAATGGTCGACAAATTCCATTTGGGAAAATATGTTCAACAATGTCTCAAGCTGAACACTTCCCCAATCAAGTATCGAGGACTATGCGTGTACCTAAGCGGGGTCAAAATATGCTGACAGGACCGACTTATGCATTAAACTTATGCCTATTTTTCATGGCATACGCCACTCCCGTCTCAACCGTCAACATACATTCTGCAGCAACACGGGCGTAGATCAATCCCAATCGAGTCTCGCGTGCAATTTATCGCTCATGTGTGCTGTAACTACGGCATACACTCTTGTAGGCCTAAGCTCAATAGGTGTCATGTTAGTGCAATCATAACTATGCAGGAAACAGTGTGCACAATTCAAAATCAAAAGGACATGGCAAGGCTACGTTGTTGGTTTATATACTGTTCCAAGCCTTTTCTATTTTCTTGTCGTTGCATCTAGTCCTCTTGGCCCAGAAAAACATTCTCGTAATCAAAGATGCTTCTTCAATCCGCTTCAAGTTTACTGCATGAATACTACATTTCGGTTACCGCCGCTTTAGTACGCTCACTCCCTCTCTTCTATTAAACCAGTCTCTTTAATGTGCTAATGTTCTCTGGTTAGATCCTATTTGGATTGGTCTCGAAGGTATACTACCAACTCTTCATCAACCCTCTCGGCAAGTATCCCGGACCAAAGCTTGCTGCTACATCACGTATACCTCAACTCTACCACGCCTTCAAAGGTGACCTGCTTGAATGGGTTACTGGACTACATACCACGCACGGTGATGTAGTCCGCGTCGCGCCAGATGAGCTGAGCTATGCGACTGGCGAGGCGTGGAAGGGAATCTATGGCCATGCCTCTGCAGGGAAACAAGTCACAGAGAAAGACCTTCGATTCTACGGTCCATCCTTTAATGGAGCTCCAGATATCATCCGGGCCAATGGACCTGATCACGCTCGCTTTCGCCGCAACTTCTCCCACGCCTTTTCTGATCGGGCGCTTCGAGAACAACAATCTCTGATCTATGGATATGCGGATTCTTTAATTGATATCCTCCACAGAACGATCAAGGAGGACCCTGAGGCAAAAGTCAATATGGTCCGTATGCTCAATTTCACGACTTTTGATATCATGGGAGATTTGACCTTTGGTGACTCCTTGAATCTGTTATCTGGAACTGGTAACCTGAATTGGGTATGTGCAGTCTTTATCAGTATAAAAACCAATACTTTGCGCAGACTGGCACGCTACGTCCCTTGGACCACTCCCATTGTCCATAGGCTCATTCCGAAGGAGCTGAAGCAACAAAGTACCGCTCATTACGAGGCGTCCCAGGAGCGTGTTGATAAAAGGATTGACCTCAACCATACGCTACAAAAACCTGACATCTGGGGTATTGTCATGAATCAAAAGGAGGATCTTCGTCTCAGTCGCGCAGAGATGTATGCCAATTCCCAGATTTTCATGGTTGCAGGTACTGAGACCACTGCAACTGCACTAAGTGGCTTGCTCTATCACCTCCTGATGACGCCTGAGAAGATGAAGATCATTGTAGGGGAGGTTCGTGGGGCTTTTGAGAAAGATTCTGATATTGAAATGAAAGCTCTGGAGCATATGCCGTATCTCAATGCATGCATTGAGGAAGGATTGCGTGTCTATCCTCCTGTTCCAATCGGTCTGCCTCGCATTACTCCCGATGAGGGGTTGCTTGTTTGTGGTGAACACATCCCAGGAAAGGTATTTATTTTTCGCTCCATATTCTTTTCCATGGTTCCTAATATTTGGATTATATATTAGACGGCTCTGTCGGTTCATCACTGGGCTACATATCGCAGCGCTCAGAACTTCAGATTGCCAAATCAGTTCATCCCTGAGCGTTGGATTGGCGATGAGTTTGCCACCGACAACAAGGCTGCATTCCAGCCATTCTCATTTGGCCCTCGCAACTGTATCGGGAAGAAGTATGTCCTCTACTCGCCGGATAGTGGTTTAGTGGTTCTGAGTAGCTAATGATTGAATAGTCTAGCATACCACGAAATGCGGGTCATTCTGGCCAAGGTGCTGTATAACTTTGAGCTTTCTCTTCTTCCTGAGTCCATTGGTTGGGAGAAACAGAAAACCTTCTTGTTGTGGGAGAAGAACGAGTTGATGGTTCAGCTGAAGGCGAGAAAATAAAGGGGCATGGTACTTTTATGAGGAAAAGAAATCATCTAGCTCTATACATCATCTACCAAGAAGAAGTAACATTGACAGGAACATATCTATTTTGCATAGCATAGCACATCCAACACTTTTTCTATATTTTCCATCCTTCCTACCGGAAAGTTGTTCGCATAGCTCGAAATAGTATTTGTCAACCATCTAAGCTAGACCTATTTCAAGCGCCAATAGAAACTTTAGCGGAAGATTATTTTTCGTCGCTTAATTGCTCCCCCCAGATCTCCGTTGTCAATTAAGCCTTTTGTTGGCCCCCATGCAGGTTGATAACTACTTAATGTGTCTTACATGTGTTTTATTTATGCTGTCAGGTGGGATTGAATATATTGAATCAGACAGCAAACCAAGCTAGATGATCTTATCTTGTTCTTTGTCTTTGTCTTTGTCTTTGCTTTGACAGAGAACTAACCTCGTATACCTCCTTCATTTTTCCAAAACTACCCCTCCACCTAGTGGCTTTCAGCCGCAAATGGAGACTGATGCCCGAGTTAGCGACATGAAGACCAGTCAGACTTCTTTATTTCAAATTGGCTATCTGTCAGCTTATCCGGTCCTACTAGTGTCTCGTATTTGGTGATTTGGCTTATATTAATGGCTTGTTCTTAGTTGTGCCTTCCTACCATCGCGTACTTATTACAACTTCCCTAGCCCGATTTTCTCTAAATCCCCGAATCTAGTATAAGGAATCACCAAATCTACTTGCTGTGGTGGGATAAGTTATTCAACTGACTCTCATGGCAAATCCTGTATGGGCTGATGGGCCATGGCCACTAATCACAACCCCTTCTAAAACCCAAGACGTGGTAAGAAATCATTTCTAACTTTCTATTTCGATTACATTTCATTGATCCTTTTCTTAGTCAAAACATGCTTCTATTTACATTGCAAATGAAATGGCCTGTGCCCATAATTGTATGCTCCGGGGCCTCAACAGCATCTACCTCCAAGCAGAGTATGTCAAGAAGCCTCAAGACATTAAAGATTTTCTGTTTTTCATCAAGTCCTGGGCAGACTGGGTGTCCGACCATCATATCCTCGAAGAAAAACAAATGTTTCCCGGTTTCGAGAAAGTCATTGGCACGGCTGGCTTCCTCAACACCAACGTGGGACAACACCATGCATTCGAGCCGCAGTTGAAAAATCTACTAAAGTATGGAAGCCATACTAGCCATGTGGACTACGATGCCACGACGGTCCGTACAATCATTAAGGAAATGGCCCCAAGTTTCCGTCGTCATCTAAGCGACGAAATCGACAGTCTTCTCTCAATGCAGCCTTATAATGGAGCAGCGTTGTTGAAGGTGTACAAGCATTGCGTAGCTGAAGCAATCAAGCAAGACAAGGTATGTTGCTACATGCAGCGCCGGGATATCCAATGAAACAACCAATACTGATAAAATCTTCCATCACAGCAAGTGGTCCCTCCTATGGTACTTGGCCTGCGGGATGTCACATTCGAGGGAGGAAACCAGTGGCCTTCACTGCCCCCCATGGCTGCATGGGTGATATCTTATGTTCTGGCCCGGCGGTATTCGGGTTCATGGCGCTTCCTTCCATGTGACAGCTGGGGAAAGCCTCGCGCATTGGCATTTAGACCCGGGGATGACAACGAAGCAACAATGGGCTAAGAATGAGATATCCGTTTCGTCTTACCTTTTTTTATTCTCCTAACTCTTGCTGCACGAGACAGAGACAGGATGGTCAAATAGTTTGGTTTGGTCACGTGTGGAAGTCTATCCTTGTCTATATAAGCTTTCTTGGGATATATAATAGACCAGTCAAACAGCAGGGGATCTTATATCGTGTAATCATTTGAGGTTTCCCATTCTGTCCTTGGCCTATCACAACTGCGCCGTAAGGCCATTGAAGCAACAACAAACCTCCACGAGGCTCGGAGTATGCTTTCAGCCAAGGGTGTACTCTACTCCGTACATACCTCTATATGGACAGGATAATGTCTGTCAGCCCTAGAGGCGGGGTCGATTTCACCACGTCAGCAAAGTTCAGCTAGCCACGAGCGTCGTGTATACCCCTCCCTCGCGATGACATATATATATATATATATATATCTATATGTACCAGTATCTCCAGTTGATAATGTCCTTTTTTACCACGACTGCATTAATAAAAACCCATTTACCATGTCACCGTTGCCAGTTATTACCTGTGGTAGTAGCAACCCGCTAATTTTCAACACTGTCAAACCTCTTTACTTTTATGCCCTTAGGAGTGTAGGTAACAGATATGGTTGCCTACGTTCCGTGATCTTAAGCAGTCATATCATGTGAACTGTCCGATATCTCATCAATGGATGTGTTGAGCACTAGGGTCCTGACAGACATCTTCTGCCGATGTATGAACGTGTATAATTTCTATCAGTTGAGGAACATGAGAAAAGTGACAGGAAAGTAGAGGAATTAAGAACCGGGCAAAGGCAACATGCAAATAGAAAGGCACATTGCCAATGATAAGAACGCAAGAATTGTTCCAAGCCTGACAATAGGTCACTTACACCCTTCAAGTCTTCAGATCAGACACGCAATAATTTACGAAACCATAGGAAGCAAAATGGTGTGATTGAGAAGAGCTCAAAAACTACATGGCTTGCCAATGTGAAATGAAAAGCCATCATAAGTTCGCTCGTTCACTCCGTTCACTCTGTTCAATCACCCACCTCATAGCAGCCGCCATATCCTGCACATCGACCACAGACCGCGGAAGGCCATGCACAGCGCTGTGCTCGAAGGATCGTCGCCACTTAGGGAGGCAAAAGCTCTCAGTCACCAATGAGGACCGTCTCAACGCCGGTAGATCATTCTTCGCACGAACGTGAAGGGTTGGGAACGGTAAACGCGGCTTGTATAGATCTGGATGCAACGCGCATGGGACCTCTAACGGCTGGCGATCCAGAAAACTCATTCGGGACTTACGGAGAACTGGCTCCAGTACGTCGATGACCTCAGCCACTGCCTTGGCAGAAGTTTGAGCTGGTTCTGGGAGCTGGGATAGCTGGTCATATTGACCAGAGCGAAGACGCTGTTCGTCCTCTGGAGAGAGGGAACCGAACACGGATCGGTAGTAGACTGGGTCTGTTGCAAGTATTGGTACCGCCGAGCAGAAAATCCCGAATCGGACGGGAAGAGGCCTTTCTGGATATGTGACCATCTGGTCGAGCAGATAAGCGAGTAAAACCGAAGCCCCCTGGCTAAAGCCAAAGACTCCATCGAAGGGTCCTTGGTTCTGAAATGCCTCTTCAACCAAGGCATGAGCGGCCCTCATGCTGACAGGATCGAAGTCTGTCGAGTAGCAGAGGAAGGGACCAGAAACGGGGCGTGAAGTGCCTATTGTGATTACGGATTTGTTAATGTTTACCGAACGCCGGCCAGAAAATTCGGCTATAATGAACTCGCCTGGATCGGGTTGACATCTTACTTTCCCTCCCAGAAAATGAAACTCCCAGCTAGGATCACATACTCTTTTCAACCTTGACATGTGGGCCTCCATGAGATCGGGGCTTGTCCCGTAGCCATGGAGACAGAGTATCCTCATATTATCTGGTTGGGTACTTTTTTGGAAGGCAGTATATGGTCAAACCTGCGTCAGTAGCAATACCAGGTCAAGGAATGGTGACCAGGTAGATATATATATAAGAAGCCGGTGAATGCTTGAATGCCGCTGAGTGATCCACCGTCTGCCCTATAGGATAATTTCAATAGATCGCTGACATTCTGATGACTTTGAAAAAGTTTATACATTATATTCTCCAATTAAACAAACATCTTCGAGAATCGCAGGGGTTCTGTGCATTGATTAGACTGTGCATTAATTAGAAGAAGATCTGTGTAACAACCCTACATGAGACTATGGGAGGAGCTGAGTGGTGGGCTGGAGCAAGGGGGATGGAACCGATCAGGGATTGGAATATTAGTAATATTGATGCCTGAATATTTTCCGGCAGAAAATATTAATACCTGAATTACCATAACAGAGCCCTTATTAAGTAAAGTACTTTTAAGGTCGACAATATTGATGCCTTGAGAAACGGGCACAAATGTAACGCTATTCACACTCATACGAATTGCGGGGCTTTGAAATTGTTGAAAATATGGTATAAGAGGCCTCAACATCTAGAAACGGGAGATTTTAAAAGATTTGTGAGGTCAACTGGTGGGAATAGCTTCAATATTACCCGGAAGTGAGGCATCCATTTAAGAGCATCATTTTACAATACATTACAATACACTGTAAGAGCGGTGCCAAAAGGCGGTATATAATCAAGCACAAATAATGTATTAAATGGTATATTCAGGCATCAATATTAGTAATAATTAGTTTCCACACCTTCACAGGCAATAATTGCACGCCTACACGCTAGTCCAGAATTTAGGCCCACCTACTCCGTAGATAGAAGAAATGGCGGTCTGGGGGTTTAGACCTACTTGTTGGAGAAGCATGAGTTCCAAAAACGCTTTAGCTGAGCTATAAATGTGAAGAATAAGCATGCAAATAAAATCCCAACCTGAGAGGCCGATATCTAGCCAAGTGATCTGCAATCAAAAATTCGATATCATCCAACTGCACACCATCTCACATCTAACTTTATGTGCCAATAAAACCACCAATCAGCTCAGCCTTTTCAACCTACATCATTGTAGGTGTGCCGTAACTAAATCATGTTCACGACCCACTTGCACAGTTCCAGATCCCGAGCTGCAATTCACATGGTGTACGGAGTACAGCAAACTGGTAGCGGCATTTGCAGGTGTGCAAACTCCGCCATGAACAGTCCGATATAGTCAATACTAGACCTCTCAATAGCCCACAAAGCCCAAAGCCCAGCCCAGCCCAGCCTTTTAGGGTAATTTTGTATGGAAATTTGTATGAAATCTGTTATCATGGTACTAAAATCAGTATACATAATTACTAAATTCCTACTTCTTACTATAATAATATGATGAAACTAACTATATAGGTTAATACATGCATAAAATATAGCTCTTAATCAGGACCTTTATATGTGTCAGGACTAAATTTGTGTATAGAAATGGGCGCCCATTAATGGGCTATTGAGAGTCCCCGTAGCTGCTTCTTAGTTTATCTTTAGCTTTGTCTTCATTTTGTCTTTCGTAAACGGCTTCCGGTATTCGTTTCTATATCTAATACGGCCTCTACAACCGCGTTGTCCACGTCAGAAGACGGGCGAGTTATCTTCGCCGTACCATTCGAAGTCGTCTCTATGATCGAGTTCGATTCGGTCATCAGCTTCTTATAGTATTTACCAAAGTTATTAATCGTAATCTCAGTTAGGAGTTAGCGTTTTAGAGTATCAAAAGTGAAATTCACACTCGGGAGCTCGTTACGTAGTATGTTAATGAATAGAATCCAGAATAACAACTTCCCGTATACTTTTGATTCACGCGAAACGGTATATATTGAACTTGGCTGTACTGTAGCATGTAATGACAATGGGAGGGGGAAAAAAACAATGACTCGCTGACCTGCACATGCACATGCCACGGCCCATCACAAACATAAACACAAAAGGTCAACGCTAAGCGCAGAAATGTCCAACACCGCGACCGACCATAAACAATGCACTTCTCAACTCTACCACTCATCGTCGTCGTCGTGTTTGCCCTGCATCGCGCTTTGTCGTGCCCGCAGTGCTTCGGCCAGACCACCTGCCAGGCTGGCATTCGATGCACTGTTGGGCGTGCCGCGGCCGCTGGCGCCTGATGAGTCGCCGGATTGCATGCTCACGGCGCTATCCCGGGGAGCAGGTGGGGGCGCGGGTTTGCGACCGGCCATGTTGGGTCGCTTGGCTGGGGGAGCGGGTGGGGCGGGCTTGGTTTTGGCAGCTGCAGCTGCTCCGGCACCGTTTGGAATAGGGCTGGGGGTTGCGCGGGGTGCCATGGGAGGTGGGGGTGGAATGGGTTTTGGCGCAGGAGCGACGGCTACTTCTTCGAGGTAGGATTCGGGTGTCCATCCTTGCACCGATGTTGTTGTGTTCTTACACAGCCACCATCCTAGAACAAGTTAGTTATGATCAAACCGGAGTATCCTATGGGTACGTACCATTTCCTTCCTTGGATACAATCTCGACAATTTCGCCCTTGGTAATGGAAAGCTCATTGGCCCGGTCGCTGTTGTAGTCATACTTGACCTTTGCGGCCGGCTTTCTCGAGGCTGGAGGTGGTGCCGCAGGGGAGGTGGCGGAGGAGCTCTCACGGAGCCAGAAGATCTCACGGAACTATAAGATTCGTTGCGAGAGTGTGCAGCGGCGACAGCAGCCACAGGCTGAGGCACGATACGAGGTTGAGGCACGACGCGCGGCTGGGCAGCAGGCTGCGGTACCGCGGCAGGCTGTGGGGTAGACCGGGGCAGAGGCTGAGCGGCAGGGACAGGTCGGCGAGCAGCCTGAGACAATTTCGAAGGGCCGCCACCGGGGCCACCAGGACGAAGTAGCTTGCCCTTTGTAACCGGGCGAGCAGCAACTGCCTTCGCCCGTGGAGTGGGTTTTGAGACAGAGCTAGGAGGCTCACCAGCACTAGTATGGATTGTGCTGCTTTTGTAGCTGTCGACGTTTCCAGCAGCTGGATCTTTGACTGCCTTGACGGTCGCCAGCTTGCCAGGCTTCTTATGGTATTCAATGTTTTCTCCAATCTTCAAAGTGAGAGATCCGCGTAGGACAGTGGTGAGATGAGTGAAGAACTCGGTTTTGAAGATACAGTTGATTAGCGGGTCAGGTTCTTGGGCCCCAATAACCAGCGAGAACCAGTCGTCCTTAAGATTCGAGGTGCTGACACTCTTGATGGCTCCAACCGGAATGGTCCGTTCCGCTGAAATGACAAGCTGGTTGTTTTCGATACTTTGTGCAACAATATAGACATGCCGACTCGTCAGGACAAGGATCCGGGGAACAGGTTTGCTAGAACGACCGAACTTAGACACCAAAAGCTCGGCACGGCAAGAGAAAATAACATCATCTGAACCGCTAATGCCTGCACCGTTGCGGATCATTTCACCAGGACCACCGGTATTCCCGACACCGAGATAATCGCCCAGGAAGCGACGAGAACCGAGAAGACTCATTCTCCGGCGTTCCTTCCGGCCCTGGAGCACCTGGTGTCCTTGATCACGAACCTTGATGATTTCGAGTCCACCAGTCATCCGGCGCCAGAAGCGCTGGATACGGATCGCACATTCGATGCGGTAACGGAGGTAGTTTCTCCAGGCGCGTTGAATGCGGATGGCCATGTTGTGCCAGTATTTGTCTCGCATGGCTTCCAGTGCGAACAGTGTCTCGGGAGTCTTGACGAAAACCTTTGTGATACCCATCTGGTACTCCTCAGCGGGGATCCGGGTATCCTTCAAGATCTGCTTCGCGCCGGATTCCACATCACCCGTCCATGTGTAGTCACCGGCATAAGAAGTCTTCGGGGACAAGAGGTAGAATCGCTCGGTGAACTTGTCGAAGGTCTGACGGTAAGCAAAGCCAGCACGTCGAATGCGGACGTTCTCCTGGAGACCTAGGTATTTGATCTGGTGCAGGACATTGCCGTGGGTGTACTCCTTGGGGGCCTTGTTGTCGTTTGGTTTAATGGTACGAATATAAGATGGCTGCGCCTTCATGAGTGTGGCAACAAGGTCATTCGCGGATGCCTTGATCTTGTCACCGGCGGTGGGAGGGCGACGCTTGTCATCCTGGTTGACCTGGTTGGGGAATAGCGAGTGGACGAATTCGTTGCTGCTTGATTGGGCAAGGTTCAACAAGTCCTTCAACAGCTGATCCTTGTTTTTATCCGTCATTCCCTCCACAGCGTAGCTGACATCACCAGCGTAGTGCTTGATGATGAACTGACCCTGGCGACCTTCGAAGTTGGGATTCTGGGACAGGAAATTGAGCCTACCAACGAAAGTCTGATCGGCCGCTCCAGAATCAGCGTGAGCAGTTGCACATGCATCGTTCAAAGCGGCGAAAACACCAGGGGGGCGCTTGTCCTCGATCAACGAGCACACCACCTTGTTGTCAAAGTATTCAATAGGAGTCCACTTGATCTGTTCGCGGGCATATTCATCTTGTTCTGCCTTGAGAGTCAATTGAATGAAAATCTGCTGCAGCTTTTCGTTGACATAGTTAATACACAGCTGCTCGAAAGAGTTCTTCTCGAAAATTTCGAATCCGTAAATATCCAAGATACCAATCGAATTGGTGATAGAACCGCGAGCTGTTAGTGACTGGTTGACGCGCTCCACAATCCAATCGAACAGATTGAAGTAAATTCCCTTGGCCAAAGCGTCCCGAACGGCTGAAGCTTGGACCCTGTTCAGCGGCACTTCATATACAGAGCCCCTGCGCCCTCCTCGGGCAGTCTCCATCAGACGAATGGTCAAAGCTTTGTTCACTTGGGCGGAATCCACCTCCAGCAGGTAGGCGACGAAATCAACAACTGACTGGTCGCTAATAGTAGCATTACCAGAGTCGTCTTCGCTGAACTGAACATTTCCAATCCATAGAATAGTTGCTAACATGCGGAACACATTGTCCTGCTCCGCATCGCTCATTCCAATCACCCTCATCGCGTCCAGCGTATCCTTGAACTCGGCAACATCGTCAATTCCTGGCACATCGAAGCACTTGGAACGGCTCGTATAGAGGTAAGACTGGGGTTGCTGAAGACCGAAACTGTCGCGGTACTTCTGTGGGGCACCCTTTGTGAGTTGGTAAAAGATGTGGAAATTTCGCTCATTCGTAATTTGTCCCACAACTCGCGACTTCTCTAGCAGATAATTCGTAATGTTGGCTCCCACCGGCTCACCGTTGGCATTGAACTCCAATTCTAGGTACTTTCCGAATCGGGACGAGTTGTTGTTGCGCAGCGTTTTCGCATTACCGAATGACTCCAGCAATGGGTTCGTGGCCAATACCATGTCTTTGGTCTGCTGAATAGATGAATCACCACCACCGGATACACTGGCAATGTATTGCATAATCCGCTTCGCGGCCTCGGTCTTTCCCGCACCAGACTCTCCGGAAATGATGACACACTGGTTGTCCTTGTAGGATTTCATATTGTAGTATGCGGATTCGGCGACTCCGAATACATGGGGAGGAACTTCGAGGCGGTTCTTGCCGCGATACGAATCGAGGACATTATCTGTGTAGATACCCACTGCAATGATCGCAAGTCTATTAGCAAACAGGAAACCAAATCCTCTTCGCGGAGCAACTCACAGTCTCGGAAAGGGTTGACTGAGACCAATACATGGCCAATATAAGTCTAATATTCTTCCGTTAGCCTGTACTCCTGTTCGCGCGCAACCCCGCAGTCCCGCGTGCGAGAGAATCCCTTACATAAATCTCGTCGTGCTCGAACCGGAGCTTCAGATTGTCGTTGATGGCCTCGTTGGAGATCTTGCTGAGCAGAGTAAGATCTGACACACCAATCTCCTTCTTCTTGCTGCTCTCGAAGGCGGCCTTCCTGACCTTCGGCTTTCCCCCCGCTTGCCGGCCATCGCCAACATCTGCGACTGCTTTGGAGCGCCCGAATCGGCTCTTCTTTTCGCCACCAACGGGGCGTCGTGACTGACCCTATACCGCAACCACAAGGTCAGTTTGGTTCTTATCTGGTGTTATTGCGCAAGTAGGCCACCTACCATCTTGTGTCAATCTCTCGGGGGATCTCGCGCCCAGGCGACAAATGTGAAATCTGACCTGTCAACCGAATGGGGGAATTCTGGTTACAAGTTGAGAGTCAGGAATTGAGAGTTGAATAGGAAATAGTCTAGAACCTATTCTAAGTAATTGGTAAGAAGAAAGTGACTGGGCGGACTTACGTACAACAAGTCAAACCAAAGCAAACAGCTGCGCCACAACAGGGTCCCTTTTTCTGGTTCCGTTGCTGCCTTAGGGGGCGAATTGGACATCAATTTACCCGGTTACTAAGAAATGATCTATTTGAATATTTGTTCTTATTGCTCAGTTTCATTTTTGTTCCGTGGCAATTCTTTTTTTCTACGAACCTTCTCGGCCAGCCACGCGTCCGGATTTGTGGCTCGTGCAGTTAAGAATAGATGCACCGACGTCATTGGGCATATACCCTTGGGACAAGTATTCTCCTGCCTAACCGCGATTTTCATTGACCTAGGCCTCGTATATGGATTGTACTCTCCATTGGGTACAGAATTTCGCTGTTCATTGTTCAACAATAGAAGAACTGATTCTGAGAGGGCGAACTGACGCTACTTATCTAGGGTTAGTAGCTATATAACTACATAACACTTGAAAGACGAGACATCTATGGCCGCAAACTTCATACTCAATAATCTTATTTCTCATAGATGGGTGATTTTTGGGGGTGTTCTGAATATGTAAACTCATGAGTGGTGCTGAAAAGTGATGTTCACGAACACAAGGGATGTAAATATATATAGTTAGTAGTACGAAAAAACCCCCCAGATCAAGAGTAGTCTTGAACGTAATGATATGATAACGATATAAGGGGCAAAACTTGTAGATGAACAAGGCATACATTTATACCTATGTAGTTTAAAGTAAGACCCACGACATCAGGAGTTAGTCTTTCGCAAGACAATGAAGAAAGAAACTGACTAAATTTTGTGATCCCCTGAAGTAAAAGCTTGGACAGCGGAACAAACATTTAATGGGAAATATAACCCACAAAGCCGATGAAAGGATATGAATATGTGGATGATGGGATGGTAGTTAGACATGTTTGGTTAAGAAAAAGGTCCACCGCTCATCCATAGAGTATTGTGTTGACTATCCCTGGGTGCAAATCCCTGGGATCGAAGAAATTCCCTCTCGAAAAAGCGACCGGTTTTCTGGAATGCATATACCTAGAGCTTCACCTTTTGGGCTGGGCTGAAAACGAAAATTTCGAAGGCGGAAACGATGTAGGCACAGGCGCAGGCGATTTAGGCCATAGTAGTTTATCTCCAGAGGTGTTGACTGGAATCTAATCGCGATAAATAAGCAAATAACCAATGGAAGGCAAGTCTTGGGATTCAACTATAACTCACCGGGTTTGTGCGCGAGACACTCTTCATGTAAGCACCTATGCAATCCAGGAGGTAGGACGCGTCAGACACAACAAGGACAGGGGGAGGTTCTGTGAAGCCCAATGAAAGGCAGTGGTGCAGTGCCCCGAGAGACTGTACTGCCTCGATCTGTTCGTTGCCCGACGATCTCGCATCCAGCAAGTACACGATCACCCCCAATGAGTTCTTGTTGGCTGCAGTAAACTTCTGGATTGTAGTTGCAGTTTGATGTCTCGTGGTTACGTTCAGCCGACTGGGAGTTAACAAAAGCACATTGAGCTTGATGGAGTGTATCTGGTGAAGGACGTCGAAGGTTGACAGGGTGTGGTTCTTGTAGATGAGCTCGAAGCTGAAGTCGGCATCTCGAGCAGCCCATAGAGCTTGAAGGAGGGTTAACATTTGAACCTTTTCCAAGGGAGTCAGGGGAACCCACAACTAAAGTCTGTTTTCGGGGGTCCTGGTGAAGCTAGAGGATATGGTCAGCTCCAAATGTTGAGCAAATAGATAATGGATAAGAGTAGTGTACCTTCTTTCATTGTGCCCAGAGAAGTCAGAGTGGTAGACAGCCTGGCCCATTCATCGCGTTTCCGAAGTTCTGGATTGTATTCACCCCGCAGACCAAGCGTTGGCGGAGGCGTAGTTGTGGCCATTCTGGGTGTGGGCATGAAGCTAGATTGTGAACTGTCACTATCTGTTGTTCGAGGAGCCATCGTAGATATGGGGATAGATGGAACTGATGAATTGAGCGGGCTGGCAACGGAGCGAGGAGAGGGAGGCCTGTTGTCAGAAGGTAGAGATTGAGCACCCATAGCGAAAAGGAAAACAATACAAAGAAGGGATTGAAAAGGGAAGCGTTAGGTGCAAAGGACTGATGAAAGAGAGAAGAATCAAAGAGAAGAGTTGTTGCTTCTATGGACGTGATGTGTGTATGTACATTTCAGGGAAGGAGCGGGGAGAATATCAACAAGTAACTCCGCCTTGCAACTCCTACCCTCGAAAGTAAAACAGCTCCTTGTGGCCTCCCTAGTGGTCTGTGTAATGGGGTATCTTGATGGAATGTAAAAGCAAATGCACGCCTAAACTTATATAATAGGATATCGCTAGGTATGATACGAATATCAATCGAAATCAGCAATCACGAGCTTTTCGATGCGAATGATGGCGTCTGACTAGCCGATACAGCAGACTGGTCTGGAGTTTCGGTTGCCGGTGCAGCATTTCCTGTTGTGGGCTGGGTATTAGGCATAGGCTCGATCGTCGTCTCAGCACTTTGACCAAAAGAAATATACGAGGAAATGCGTGAGAGCCACCCCTGTGGGGCTTCCGGCATATCAGTCTCTGCAGGTTGTTCATAGATCTCCGGAGATAGAATCCTCTGCGTAGACAACTTGGGCAAGTCACCGTGCTTTGCTCTTAGCTGGAGTAGCTCCTTTTCGAGTGCCACCAGAGCTTCACGAGCCGCCTGTTCGGATTGTTCCAGATCCGCCAATCTTCCCTCCACACCTTCCCGCCGTGTGCTTTCCTTATTCCGTGACCGCCACGACTCAAAAAGAATCAGGCCTCCAGCAACAAGGAAGAGGAAGGATTCGGAGATGAAGTTGGCACCGGACTCAATAGCTTTAGACTCGGAAAGGGGACGGATACGATAGTGAATGGGCTTGGCTGCCTCTTCTGCCGCAGCCTTGGCCTTGGCCTCTGCGTCCTCTGCGGCTTTCGTGTCGGCCGCGTTTCGAACGGTGGGGATTGTAGGCTTGTGTTTTCGAGCTTCGGCGGCGGCGGCGGCTTGACGTTGTGATGCAGCAGTATCGCGGATAGAACCTAGCCGGAGACGCATATCGAATCGGTGAAGAGCCTGGGCCATAGAGACACAGATCTTGCGAAAGCGTTCATGTTCGCGGGCCTGGGCTTTGATTTGAGACTGTGTGGGTCAGCCTATAGGTTTGGCAGGTTTGTGCTCGAGATGTAAGCTTACAGCGATGGGCTTAGACAAAGTCCGGATTGCCAAGGAGGAGAGCTTCAGTGTTAATGACATGGCTGGAGAATGGAGAGAGTGAGCATATGAAGCTTGAGTCACTTTCTTACCTCCGCGGTACCGACCCCGGCGCGTGTTGATTACTCAGCACCATCTTCCACCTGGGCACTTGGGCACCCGTGAACCAGCGACCATAGGAGGCTTATTTCCAACGTTCGCTTGGCAATAACAATCCCAGTTGCAAGATTCGCGGGTTTTGACGTAATTACACGTTGAACTGTGGGTTTTATACACATTATAAAATTTCGAACTACAGTTTCCCCTCCCATACTTCAAGGTGAGAGATGAATAAAAGCGTTGAACATCACAGAAACCATGGGGTACACTGGAGATCAACTATATTCCACACGGATTTCGTTGGAAAAAGGTTCAGCATGAAAATGACACTTTATTCCATATATTGTATGGAGTACTAGTGGGATAGTTTATGTCCAGAGACGGAGTACGTCCGGGCATATGATTCACATAGGGCTAGGTATGTAGCCTTGTTCTATTCTTGTTCCTAGTTAACTAGTCAAATGGTGAAACCTACATGTGGAATTTATAACAGTTCGGAGACTTCGCGAGTGTGTGTATGTTGTACGGAGTACGGAGTAAATATTGCACCATTATTCTATTGCATCTCATTCCCTTTTCGATACATATTGCTTTTCCGTTGAAATTGCGACATTCTGCAATCAAAAATAAGCCAATCACCTCATGCATGTTATCTCAATTTAACCCATTACCCTCGAGACCCGCCAACTTCAAGTCTTCGGCTGGATGTCTCTCCTTAATATAATTCCTGTTACGCAGAAGCTCAGGTCTAACCCACCTAGGCGGATAAGCGAAAACTTAGCCTTCCCTTCCTCATTGACCAGTCAAATGGTGTGATTGACTCTATGTTGTACTTGCCCCTCTCTAGCGTGGAAATATTTTCTGTTTGGAAGACTTTGTTTCCTGCAACAACGCCATGGCAGGGGTATTCGAGGACCAAGAGAGTTCTACCAAGACAGGGAGTCGGTACATCGTCCAAGATGTTCACGATGTAGAAGACCAACACTTCACACCTCAGTCGGGTCCATCGAGCGCTGCCATCGTCGACGATGGGCAGATCGTTACCCAGTATGAACGCCAAAGTTTGATACGGGGCCTCGGGCAACGCCATATTCAGATGATTGCCATTGCGGGCGCGATTGTATGCAAACAATTATGAAGACGGCAACTTTATAACTGACATAAAATAGGGTACGGGTCTCTTTCTCGGTCTAGGTGGCTCGATTGCCACCGGTGGTCCTCTAGGTTCCCTGCTAGGCTACCTGTTTGTCGGCCTGGTAGTCTGCTGCATTCAATTTGCATTAGGAGAAGTCTCAGCCCTGTTACCAGTCACTGGTTCCTTTGTGCGACACGCAGAGATCTTGGTTGATCCCGCGCTGGCATTTGCGGTCGGCTGGAATGTCGTTTATGGATGCTTTATCAGCGTTCCGAGTGAAATCTCCGCCAGTGTGGTCCTTATCCAGTACTGGACGGATATCAATGCCGCCGTCTGGGTGACTATCCTCATAGTGGTGTCTGTAGTTGTCGCCGTCTCGTTGATCAGCGTCTATGGCGAGATCGAATTCATATTCGCCATTCTTAAGATCCTGCTTGTGATTTTTGTGGTCATTCTCGGCCTTGTCATTGATCTCGGTGGTGTGCCGGGTGTGCCCCGACGAGGCTTCCACTACTGGAAAGACCCTGGCCCGTTCGTTGAATATATTGCTACTGGGTCCTTGGGGCGATTCCTCGGATTCTGGGCTGTTATGACCAATGCAGTCTACTCGTTCGCAGGTGTAGAATCTTTGGCCACAACCGCTGGTGAAACAAAAAACCCACGACAGAATATCCCTAAGGCCTGTAAAAGGGTATTTGCACGAGTGTCTATCTTTTACGTCGCCACTGTGCTAGTCCTAGGCATGCTGGTCTCTAGCGCCGATGAACGTCTTGGTTTAGACTCTGGTACTGCGGCTACGAGTCCGTTCGTCATTGCCGCCGGCGATGCAGGTATCAAGGCTATTCCTTCTGTTGTGAATGCCGTATGCTTGACCTCTGCGTGGTCGGCATCGAACCAGAGTATTCTCACAGGAACAAGAACGTTATATGGTCTTGCGGTCAAAGGACATGCTCCAAAGATATTCCTGCGTACCACCAAATGGGGAGTGCCATACATGTGTGTGTTGTTGCAGGTTGCCTTCTCCTTCCTGGCTTACATGTGTGTATCCAACAACGCCATGAATGTCTTCTGGTGGTTCGTTGATTTGACTGCAGCTGGCACCTTGGTCTCGTGGATCACCATCGCTTTCAACCATATTCGCTTGTTGCAAGCGCTGGATAAACAGGGCATATCACCAACAGAGTTGCCGTGGCATAATCGCATCACCAGTATGTATAACAAGCCCGATTTAACATACCTTATGCCAACACTGACATCATCAAGGATACACAAGCTGGTTCGCGTTGGTCTCTTGTGTCATCATTCTCCTTACTGGAGGATTCGTAGTCTTCACCGCAGGGAATTGGGACCCTGCCTCATTTGTCTCATCGTATCTGTGAGTCTTGTTGTTTGCAGTATTGAATTTAATCAACTAACCTTGACACTAGGGATATTCCACTCGTCCTATTTGCCTACGCGGGTTATAAGTTGATCCACCGGACAGAGATTATTCCTCTGAATCTGGTGCCGGTTCAACAAGCGATAGAAGAAGCCAACAATGACCCAGAGAATGTGCCGATCAAGAAAGACAGCATATGGGCAAAGATGAATATTCTTTGGGGCTGACATGCTCCTACCCATAGTTAGGAGACTGCTTGTTTTTGTTCAAGAGGTTTTGTTTGTGGCTAGAGGCAAGATAATGAAATATGATAGATTTGCAGCTAGTCTAATATATTTAATTAACATAATGATAACATCCATGGCGTTCTGTTTTGCTCCCACAGTTCCACGCAGTGTCAGGCCTAAGGGAGGTAGCTCGTAAAGTAAGATCTGTATATCAAATAATAATCGTTCCTTAATGTTTGCATTTCTAATTGTACAATATAAAAGGTAGACTAATACAGTGTACCATTCCATGGCTGTCTTCCCTACGTCGACCCTTTGGGGCATACACAGGATAATTTCCTCCATACAACCACAATAGCCCGATGAAAGGGTTTCTAGTCAAACTAGGATATGATATTCCATGCTGTTCTAGTTGTTGTAGGGTTTAAGTTGGATGAGTATGGTGTCAAGATGTGGAAGTAATGCTCGAAGTATGAGGCAGACGACAAGGGCTACTGTTGGATCCACTCTCAAATAGCATACCCACGCAACTCATTGAATAGGAGTGCCTAACTACATACCTAGGTAGATATCTCAAGTGTAAGTAATCATGAGAGCATTACAGATATGTAGTAGTTACTAAACATTCATACTCTCGTATCAATTTTTAATGTACTATGTTTGATTGTGAACTATCCAAATAATTTTTTATGGTTTGGCGTCAAGTAAACAAACTCGAATAGTTATATATCGCGGCAACACATGCAACCAGATATAAAGCCCTAGCAACGTACCGAGATGAAACCGAACGGTTAATCCTAAACTGTCTGTTTTGATAACTTCAGATAAAGCTACAACATACATATGTAGGTATTTAATTCGAAAAAAAAATTCAAACGTATCCCCCAGATAATGAAAATGCGTCAGGATGATCGATGACCCTCACGTGACCCGCGGGCCAACGGCCAGTGTTTATCGATTACCGTTTTGAGCAAACTGTT